CACATTCTGTGAGGCGGCATTGTACCTCTAATGTTATGTATTGTTCAGTATATATGTTCTTATCTCCATCATAGATAAGTGTGACCTTGAAATTGTACGCATCTGTTCGATTCTGCATGTTGGATTTATTTCACAGAACTATCACATTTCAATGAAGGAATTTTGTTTTCGTTGAACTAACATTGTTCTTGTCAATTTAAAAGATGTATCTCTTTTTGATTTTCGGATTTTGATGTAATGTTAGACAAACATGTTATATCATCCATGTATCCGTCCATTTTTAAAATATGAAGTAGTGAAAAGGCTTAGCTTTCGTGCCATTTCTTCATAATTCCTATCCAAACAGTCAATGTATGGAATACGCTTATTGTGGGCTAATGTAAGATTCGCCATGTGAGCGCTGCATGAAGCGAATGGTCAAAAGGTCGCCTTACCTGCTTATAAGGAACACCAACAAAAGCTAAAGCTAAACAATCTAAAATCTACCATTTGCATTTTCACTATTGGTACGCATTATACATCGATTATAATCTTAGTAGCTCAGAATTTTCTTTTAAGAAACACAGGGTCCATGAATGCTATTCCGAGGGTAAAACTTAAACTATTGGTGTGATCCCCAGGTTTTCTCGGTAAATCGACATGAATCCTATGACAGGAATGAATTCTGGCACTTTACAAAGCTTGGAAATTCTGCAATTGCACTCGGAGGATCCCTTTCGCTACGCATCCATCAATTATTACCACTCTCTTTTACTACAAAGATTTTTCAAAAATTCCTCATTTACGAGAGTTTGAGAAATCCTCCATTGCTGCTTGATGAAGGTAGGAGTCTCTTCGAAATACCAAGAATAACCAGCCCGCAATTGCACTAGTAGAAGAGTTGTAATCTTTTTTTCAACGCGAAAGGCTGTGACGCAACAGAGCGCGATCTGAGAACATGACACAGAAATTACATACAATTGTTTATCGAGCCAAAATCATAAACTACAGGGTGCGGAAAAAATACTGTCCCTCAAAATAAAGATTAAAAATTTGGCGTAATTCACAGGTTTTTTGGCTAATTTGACATAATTCCCAAGATGGGAATATACTCTATCATTTTACAAAAACTGGCTTCAAAATTCTACAGGGTGGGGCAAAAGTCTGGGAGCCTACTTTGCAGTGCTGTAAATCAAGAAACTACTGAAGATTTTGACTCCAAATCTGTGCCACATATTGCTGCGATCATCCTCTACAAAACACACTTTGGTTGGCTGAAAATGCTTGCTATATGTTTTTGTAGGAGTTGGATTTATCAAACAAGTGCTCTGCAAAACGAGAAAATCAAAATTTTTGGTCTTCACAGCTTATTTCGTAACTAACGATGCAGTGGATATTCTGAAGCACTTCGATGCGTATAATGTAGAGGAGACTTCGCGCTATCAATTCTTAGCCGTTGCATTTGTCAGATACTATTCTTTCAGAAATGCAAAATAAAAATTTGCGAATACCAGCTGCGTGCCAGCGTGCCATTTTTCTTTAGAATAAATTTTAAAGCTATAGGGGCACAGCAGGCACTGAATTATAGACTATATTCTTTCCATCAGTCTTCTATGCAAGCGTGTACTGGTGTTCGATCGATCAAGCAATTTCAATACCTTTCAGACTACGATTCTTCGCTCTCGTTCGCGCAATCGCATCCAGATTTCCAGTATACGAGTACAACTGCCTGCAATTAAAATTCTGGAAATTTTTTCCTAAACACTGCGAAAAAAAATTTCTTCGCAATGCGTTGTAGCCAAAAGCTTGCTCTATCACACCGCATATTTGCCTGGTGAAATAAACAGTTATCTTGAAGGCGTGGGACGAATTTCATCACCACTGTCTGCGTGCCACGACAGTCGGACTCGCCAAGATTTCAAAGGGCTGCTTTGAAGCCAGAAGAGGCAATTTCAAAATTCGAAAGCAGCGCTGTATTAGTAAAGGTTCGATTTATGTGTGCACCAAATTTTTTGTTCCTAGGCACTTTCCTTCTGATTTCATCTGAAAAGGTACTAGGCTCCCAGACTTTTGCCCCACCCTGTATAATTTTACCCGGCGGCGGATCCCTTCTCGCAGCGCATCTCATATCAATTCTTGCAACTCCCCTTTACAAATCAAGAAGAAGTGTGAGGATTTTTGAGAAATTTTTCTGTTTGTCACGCGGACTTGAAAAATCCTCTAGTGCTTAAGGAATGTGGTAGTGGATCCCGAAATATCCTGAAAGTTTCCAGTCAGCACTTGCACTAGGAGAAATGCTGTGAATTTCTCTAACGAGAAAGTGGCTGCGGCGCAACATAGTGCGATCAGAAAAGTGGCACAGCGACTAATTGTAAGTATAATCGTTTGTCGCCCCAAAATCGTGATGTAGACAAAATTCGATGCATTTTTCATTATTCCTGCTACTTTTTGTTGGAATTCCGAAATTTTGAATCATAGTTTGAGTCCAATTCATTAAGCAAACGTGGTCCTGACTCGTCTCTTTTTCGAGAATTTTTGCGATTTGCGTCTGGTATAATCTTCCTTATTTGGCCAAAACAAGAGTCACTAATCTATATTTATTTATAATGGGTATAGAATATTGGAGAAGGGATCATGCACTACATAACAGCTTAATTTGAACCTTATATCAATGCTGGTGATATAGTTACGGTCCAAAATCGCGTTTGTATGCCATCGGCGCATCGTTAATGTTCTTGCGCGCTGTTAACACTCGTTCAAACGAACAGAAGGGAACAGTTTCAAATCAAACTTATCCTTATCTAATCTCAAGGATCTCGCCTACGTGTGGGAGTCAAAAAACTACAGATTTACTTTATGTTTGGGGTATTTCAGGTGCCAAGTTGGAGGGACAGTACTTTTTCCGCACCCTATGGAGAAAGCCCAATATTCCTTTCATTATTTCCGTTTGTTGCTCGGTGGGCTCAGCACTCCCTCTCGCTCGACTGCTCTGGCAAACCAATCCCAAGCCCTAGGAGGTTACGCGTCCGACACCGACGGCCTACGGCGCGTCCACTCGACGCGTCACCGCATAATAACGAACCCGAACAAAACACTAGATTAAGTGAGTTTATATACCGAACGGATAAAAGAAGATAACAAGAAATACTACTAAACTAATAGGTTCCTACTCTAAGTGAATGAATGAGGATAAAACACGGGACGAGCGGCGCCTCCCCTCCACCGATGCCTGATGACTCAATCCAATCCAGAAGTTCTGGGTTCCACGTCAGAGTCGGCCGCAGGAACCCAGTCCCATGGAATGGTACACTCACCAGCTCCGCTCCCGCAATAATTTTTATCCTACAACCTAGGTTTCCTCGCCTTACGCCCACAAGATACAAAAGCCTCAACCGCTCGTCCAGAATCCTGAACTGCGGGAGCTACCCGGAACGTACCATTTGATTCAACTGGCTTGGCTTCGGAAAGGCGGGGCTCCGTGACCTAATCAAGGCTAGCTAGTGATCAGAGAGCGCCCGCGAGATAGAGACGCAGGTGCGTCGCGGGCGCGAGAGACCTTAATTACGTCACAAAATCTCGCCTTTCCGAAGCCAAGCCAGTTGAATCAAAGGTTAGCAGTATGATACAAGATAATCGATAATGACAAGAACGAAATGGCGAGGGCTGCTCTTCCGCGCAACCTTGAGATCCGTCATACTTCGCCGAAAAAAGCCCAAAAAATCCCGAAAAAAGCCCAAAAAAGCACAGAAAAGCCCAAAAGCGCCAGAACGTCCACTTCACGAGCGCGACTTTTGGCGCTGGAGCATTAGTTCTGGACACATGTTGGATGCCAGAACAACTAAGTTCATTCACATTTATCATGACAAGTATTCCGATCACACTCAATGTCGCTTGTCCAACGCGTCTTCAAAGCTATTTGCATGTACACTTTCTTCTTTCATTCTTTTCCTCAATCTTTCTACCGCTAGTAGGATAAGTGTACAAGTATCTACTCATGCATCTAGTCGTTGCTCGCACTCAAAAACCTTGCGACCTGGCGGTTAGCTGAGATAACTAGATTGATAAAACTGTGGTTGTTGTCATCATCATGTTTCTTGACAGACAGACTTTCTTTTTAGACAAGAGTACAACAACAGGAATAATCAAGTGAAAGGACCGGCTTGCGAACACAACACACATGCCCTAGCGCCAAAACTTGCAAGAGGCGTTCTGGCGCTTTTGGGCTTTTTTGAGCTTTTTCGGGCTTTTTTGGGCTTTTTTGGGCTTTTTCGGGCTTCTTCGGGCATTTTTGGGCTTTTTTCGGCGACGTATGACGGGTCCCTTATATACCCCGTCACTCGGCCGCGCTCCCCGGAGGTGGTCTTGCAGCAGCCTACAAAAAGCGCGACAGGCAAATGCGGCATACAGCGCCCCGGCACCTGTTCCGAGGAGCGCTCTGCATCGCGGAGCCGTTACACTGTTACTATTGGTTAAAATCTCGACTTCTGAGTCATAGTTTAAATCCATTTTATCAAGCAAGAGCAGTCTAGACCTGTCCCTTTTCGAGAATTTTTCGATCCGCTTGAGATATTATAAATTACCGATCTATGACAAGCGTGGAATTTTTGAGGAAGAAATCATGCTCTACAAAATACCTCAATTTGAAACTGATATCACCCTCGGTGGAACATTTGAGCGTGTTTGTTCTAAACACGCTCAAATGCTGCGGCGCATCTTCATCTTACATCTCTGCTCGCTATTATCACTCCTTCTAATAGAAAGAAGAAGAACGTCACAAATCAAACTCTTATTAGCCTAATCTCCAAAGTCTCGTCTACATGAAAGAATCAAAGAAGCAACGATTTCCTCTATCTGTGAAATGTTTTATTAGGCAAACTAAGGGACAGTACTTTTTCTGCACTTTGTATTATCATATCCAAGAGGTCCGTCGGCCAAGTATTTGTAGTTTCTGTGCCATAACATATCTCAATACCATGCGAATCCATCAGCGCTCAACCTATTGCCAATTAAACACAAAGAATGGAAACATGAACATTTATCCCGTAAAGATATAGCAGCATAACCGTCAATAACTATTCTTACAAAATCGGAAGAAGACAGATGTGCCATGCGGCTCAAATCACATAACAGTCAACTGATGACATTTGTACAGAAACAAATACTCGTTTGCAGCATTTTGGTAGCACATACCACAATGCAAGCGTAGCCGTAGCGAACCAGGACGATTCATAAATCAATCACGCAAGACTAAAAGAAAATGTGGTGCCCCGAATTGGAGCGCGCTAACAAAATCTTCTTGAGCGGTTTGGTCTCAAAACTAATTTAGCCAGAGATCAGAGCTATAGGTAACAGAATGTGGTTTTCATAATCACAGAGGATAGAAACTGAACTTGAGAATTTGGATTGCAAATGTGAAATTCAAATTGAACGCAACAATTTGCGGTGAATGTCAGCTTGTCTCTCGGTTGTCCTTTTTATTGAGATCCATTCTGTTGCCTAGACCTGAGCAAATTCCACCTGCACGGTATTAAATCCCTACAATGTGCTGAGCTCAGATCATTTTCGGCTCTGGCTGCTCAGTTTTGAAGAAGAATGCACAGACAGAATCCTTGTGCACCTGCAAACATTCGTCATTGCGTAAAAGGAAAGTGCACCACTGGATAAAAAACTCAAATTACTTTCAACTTAGAGAACGTAGGAAGTATTAGGTCACAAGGAATGCGCCCGCCTGATTACATAAATTATAAAAAGCCCACTTGAATTATATAATCTCTGTACCCTCAAAAGGAGTGCTTTTTTCTTGAAAGATCCAATGTTTCTGGTAATGAAAGTGATGTCTGCAACATACATTTGTATTGAACATGAAGAAGAAGATTCGAAAATTTTCATAAATTCTTTACTTTTTCTCTCCCTCAGATTCCCTTCGGCTTGACATTGAGATAGGAAAACGCCGAAAATATTGAAAAAAAACGCGCGTTATTTTGTAGAAATTTGTATAAAAAATTTGCCAGCAACCATTGAAGAGCGGAGAATACATGAGAAAACGAGGTCTCAGAAAACTTTGGAGACCTTCTAACTCATTTTGAGCTCTGTTCCTTTTGTGGAGCATTTTGAGGAAGTAAATTATGGATGAGAGCAGCTACAATGTTTGGAATTTGAAGAAAATTAGATTTCAAGAATTGCCTTGAAAACTGCCGAGATCCGAAATTCTGCTTGAAGCAACTATATATCTTACGCTGTTTGATGATCTGCCAAAAAGTTTGCAGCAATTTTTCATAGCACAAATGATTTTGAAAAATGTTCGAAATCAAGAAGTATTCAGATATTTGCCTACCTTGCGTTCTTTTTGTCTCATAAGCTGTTTCGGATTATCAGGATCATATGTCTCTTGTCGAATTGTCTTCAAATCGCCTCTCTCCGGCCTCTTCATAGAACTTCGCGGGGAGTTTGTCGGTGTACTTCGAGCAGATTGTTGTTCCTCGCTGTTCTCACTTAAGCAACAATGTATTTACGTAACAAAACTGATTAGAAGAAGCCAAAAAGAAGTTGAATCCTCACGATTTGGAATTTTCCTCTACCACGTGGATATCAGGTGGACCGCTAAAGCAGCCCTCCTCGGCTTGAATCTCGTAAACTCGTTTCGAATGGATCACCACATTTGAGTACGGTGAAGCTGCAATGTTAATGGAATATTCTTATGTTCGAATATATCTGGGCTTTTTTATTATTATTTTATTATTTGAATAGTTCCATTTCCATGCATGGCTCAATACAGGTGATACGCGGCCAGGTTGAATCTTGTTTCGCAGGTAAAGAGCAGGGAGTTTTTGGAGGCTTGAGAATTCCAGAGATATCTCAGAAACAGAATTTTTACAATTTACTTAGCCGCTTAAAAAGGGTCTGTCCGAAGGGCCAAGTCACGCCCACCAATACAACTAAATTTGTTGTCCAATTACACCACCCCCCCCCCTCCGTCCCCTCGCAAACTACCGCCAGCCAATAACTTTCAACCATACAAGCGCAAATGTTTTGTCAATTAAGGTTAAGGTCTATGTAGCAACCTCAAGCCTTCTTCCATTTTTAACCCCTCTCTGCCCACTTTGAACTCTAGCTATCCATGGTATCAAAAATTCCGTTCTTTTCGAAAGCAGTAATTTCTAGTTCCAATATGCGTAGGACATAAACGCGGATAATCGAAATTTGGCCCCAATGGCTTGCTTAACGAATACACAATGATATGGCACCAAATTTGGCGTGCATATCCGCAACGGGAAGTTGAAACAATGTATGAGAAATTATCAAGAAGCTATGCGAATCAAAGACGTGGCAAACTTTTTATCGAGTGGTCTCACGCGAGCTGGTCAGCCACTTGTGGTGGCCCAGGGAAAACAACAGGGAAAAGGGGTCAGCCATCAGGTGGTCCAGGGAAAAGGAATTTATCATTTCATCTTTTTCTCACATGATTTTTCACATGACATTTATCTACATCGTAAAAACAACACGCCGCCAACTCAATGAATTGAATAAACATTATCAAATTGTGCTATTGAGTTTTGACGTTCTGTGCTGCGCTCCATTTTCTTCTTCTTTTTCTCCCTCTCATGCTTTCGCTCTAAAGACTTCACGGCTTACAATGTCAACACATGCCCGATGTCACAGATACTATAAGGCTTCACAGAAGATGGAAGATTATTCAAAGCTGATCCACATAAGTGCTTCAGGCAAAGGGCACATACAGATTTATTGTACTTTTCCTAGACATGTCCTAACCTTTCCTTATAAAAAGGGACCTTTTGAACAACAACTAGGCACTATAGATCACAGAAAAGCCACAGATGAAGTAAAGGAAAGACAAGGTTTCCCAGATACATTTTTCTGCAATAACATAGAATATAAGAAACTGACTTTTAGGAATGAGGATCAACAGGATTGCCTTACAATTCTCATGCATACTCGGAATAATTTTGCGATACAGCTTTTAAAAACCCCGCGGGTGACATTTCGTAGGCGCTTTTCCCAGATTACACTATTATATGCAAACGCATTCCTCTAAAAATAGCCGACATGATTTGTACTTATTTGTCCCCCCCCCCCCCCCTCTTCCAAATCTATTCTGGAATGAGTAACGATCTTTTCGGCATTATTTATTGTGACTTATTTCCGACCTCAAACATTAATACAACTTTTCAAAGTGAAAATAGCTATTGCTTTGCTATAAAATACGAGAGACTCGAGAAGCTTCTCTAAACTTTTCTTTGCCTCGTTTCCTAATTTTCTGACCGTTGCTGCGGTATCTTTCGAAGGTAAAGTTGGATTAATACGAAAATGAGATAAACTAATTTTAATAAGAAACGCAAAAACTCACGATTACTATGTTTTCGATCATCGGAGCTAAGTGCTCTGTGCATAAATCGCAGCAATAGATAACATCCAAAGAATACGACAGTGATCGCTACCAGTACTAGGCCAAGGACCACTATCCCCGTCATGCTGAAAAATGCGTGTTTTAGAAAAAATTAAAGTAAACTCTGAATAAAAAACCAAGAGGAAAATGATGAAGGATAACCAGATAGTGAGGAGGGTCACAGTAGTAGAAGTAACTCTCAAAAAAGATATAAAGAGAGCGACTCAAAATTAGTGTGAAACTGCTTGCAGATTCTTTTTGGTGCTCAGTCTCATAAACAGAATCAAAATTATTCGTAGGGTTGGTTAAGATGTTAAATTTAATATTACCGACCCTTGTTTACAGCCGTGATAGGGATAATGGTGAATACATTCATATATGATTTTCGCTAAAATGTTACATGAATACAAAGTCAAAAGTGAATCTTGATAAATCTCCATACTATAGAACTACATAGTCCTTGAGCCTATTGTGACCCTATGGAAGCTTATCTCTTATATCTTACTAGCTGGCTTACCCGGCTCCGCCGTATCCGGACCAAACTTGGCACACATACACTTCGGGCCCCGGCGGGTGTCACAGTCCACTTTTCGTTATCGATCGATGTCGATTTTACCGATTTTTATCGATTTTTTTGCAGAGTTCACCTATAGGGCTAGGAGTTGGCACAGGGGGGAAGTGAGCATGGGGATTCCGAATACAATATTAGTTTTCAGAATTATCGATTACTTTTATTGATTTTATTGATTTTTTGTAAATTTTGACATGCGAGGCTGGGGTTTTGCACAGGGGGGTAATCGAGCATGCTGATTACGAACACAATATTAGTTTTCAGGATAGTCCATTACTTTTATCGATTTTATCGATTTTTTTGTAAAGTTTGACCTGCAAGGCTGGGAGTTTGCACAGGGGATAATCGAGCATGCAGATTACGAATACAATGTTAGTTTTCAAGATCGTCCATTACTTTTATCGATTTTATCGATTTTTTGAAAATTTGAGGTAGGGGGCTGGAATTTGGCACAGGGGTGTAATCGAGCATGCTGATCACCCGGGGGCGTATCGTTACGTGCGGGCTTCAAATTGGAAAACGTCGCGCGCGACAGCCTGCCAGTGACCAGACTTGGGAAATTCAGCAAGCATGATCGGCAGCACATAGTATTTCAGTTTCTCATCCTTTGTTGAGGTTCACAGATTATTCTCATATTAGTTTTGCTTAGTTATTTGAAGTTTTGCCGTAAAAGTTGTAAAATGAGCACTTTGAAGGATAAAAAGACACAAATTGAAGAAGGTAAAATACTAACAATATAGGAGAAGCATTGGTAATGTAGTGGTATAAATCTGACAGGTTTTCTGCACTGCTGCTTCTCGCGCGCGGTTACTTTAACGCCACGTTGCGACGTTTTCCATTTGGCAGACCGCACGTAACGAGCGCCCCCCTGATCACCCCCCTTGGGGATGATCAGCATGCTCGATTACCCCCCTGTGCCAACTCCCAGCCCCCTAGCTCAAACTTTGCAAAAAAATCGATAAAATCGATAAAAGTAATCAATAATCCTGAAAACCAATATTGTATTCGGAATCCCCATGCTCGATTACCCCCCTATGCCAACTCCCAGCCCCGTAGGTGCACTCAGCAAAAAAATCGATAAAAATCGATAAAATCGATATCGATCGATGACGAAAAGTAGCCTATGACAACCGCCGGGGCCCGAAGTGTATGTGTGCCAAGTTTGGTCCGGATCGGTTCAGAAATGGAATTTTCTATTCGGAACATACGTACACACATACAGACAGACATACAGACAGACAGACAGACAGACAAACAGACATTCAGCTTTATATATAAGATAGTGAAAACGCCTCAATTGCTCCTGTTAATTACACAAAAGCGGTTTTGTCTCACTTAACAAGATTTGTATGGTATAGTACAGTGCACTTCCAAGCAGACTGTAACAAATTTTTCTACACAATTTTATTGTTCGTTCCGTCACATCAGTTCCCCATGTTGTAGCTACAAATAAGCGATATTTCTGACAGCAGCAGTTCATATGACTTTTACGTAAACTTCGAAATTTGTATTGGAGAAGTTCTCAATTTCGACAAGACTAAAGAGATCCTATTCCACAGTCCTATCCCTTATTGGATGGCAAGGGTCATCAGTGCTCACAAAAAAGGGACGTGGTTTAGCCAGAATAGCAGCTTATGAGTAAAAATTGGGATAAAATTTGAGAGACTTTTTTAATGTTAATAAGGGACCTAACGCAAGTGCGTTGATGATAGCACATGCTAGTGAGTTGTGTGTATGCATGCAGTTCTATAAAAGAAAAAGACAAAATTTCTCTTCGGAATAATGTTTCGCTGCGAAGTATGTGCAACAATTTGGAATGAGCGCTCGAAGCTCTCCATTCTAAGTATCTGCATTGTTTTTCAAGAACCACATAAGTCAGTATGTACCAGTGGCGGTCCGAGAAATTTTTTTCGGGGGGGGGCGCGAAAAAAATTTTTTTCTAAAGAAGGTGCGTGGCGTTAGCCACGCACTCCGAAAAAATTTTTGGGGTGCTTCTCAAAATTTTTGCGGGTCCCCGACCCCTAAAATCTGAAAAAAGGGGGCGTGGCGTCAGCCACGCCCCCGAAAAAAATTTTTTTATAAGGCTAAAATGAATTTTTAAAAAATTTCAAAAATTATTTTAATTATTTTCAAGTGCAAACAAGTCGTTTGCACATTTTTACAACCCATATAGGTAAGTTTCAAAAATTTCGCGACCCATTCTCGGGGGGGGCGCGCGCCCCCCCCGCCCCCCCCCCCTCGGTCCGCCACTGGTATGTACCCCTTTTTTTTAGTCATTGATGAAAAAAACAACAAAAATTTAGTAATGGGCACAAAATTTTAGCAGTTGCAAGCAAAACGTTCCATGTAATCGATACTGCTTTGGAGTTTAGTGTTTAGGAGATACAAAAATTCTCAAGTTACATGAGATCACATTACATAAACAAAACTAGAGGGAGAACGATTCGATTTTTTATTGATATGAATCTAGCAAAAAGGATATACACATTAAGCTTTTTGAGAATAATCAGAAGTTCTATAAACAAACTCAAAGAGCAAGCCCATCCTGAATACTTGAGTTTTTGGCCGGCTTTCATTGAGCCGTTCGAAAACACTGGACCATTGAAAACAAGTCTGCTTAATAAAGCGATTATTCCCCTTTCAACCTCTTCTAATTTTGCATAAACACAATCCGACGGTGAACTACATTAGGTTTGATGTTCTATGTCTGGTGGGTAATTGTTCTTAATTGCTGCTGCTTCCTCTACTTTTCGCTAATCCCTCCAAAAGATTCAAAGAATTATTTATTTTCATGTTCAGAAAACCTGCAAGATGTAGAACTACTTTGCCGTTCAAAACGTTATAAAAAAGGTGGCGAAAAAGGACATGTAATTTCCCCGATATAAAATATTGAGAAAATTTGACTAAGCGGAAAAGAGACTAAACATACTAGAAGAACAATGTGGTTTACTATTGGGACCTAAAAACCGATGTGGAAATTTAATGTGGTTCATTTGACGCTGGAACTACAACGCCGCCCACTCAACAGTATCTTCGATCACTCGGAAAAAAGGGGTGAAAATTCAGCAGTCCACCCACGATCCTAAATGGGGAAAGGACTCAAGGACAATGTTTGAGTATAATGCACTTTTGCCTGCTCCAGGATACTTTATGGATTGCGTTCGAGCCACTACGCGAACAAATACGATTTATAGTGCAGGCAGAATGATGCCCTCCTGAGAAGAATTCTTCAAAGGACAAGAGAAGACTGGAGATTATCTAATGAACATCAAAGCTGCACTTATATTTTCGTGGAAAACAAAGACTTCTGAGATAAGACATAGCAGGAAGTTGAGTGTGTCTGAGCGATGAATGAACTTACATTGCAAGCTTCTTCTAGACACTTAATGCGTTAAATTGAAACACACGGTATGATTAGTATAAGCTCTTTTCGATCCTTGACGCAGAGATTATGAGCGCTATGAGCGGTTCAAATGGGAGAATGCGATATAGTAACTACAGATAAGCACAAAAAAACTGGATTAAGTAAGTCAGTACTATAATTGAAGCAAGCCTTACATTTCTACATAGAAAGGATTGTAGCTGAATTCCTTTAAACTTCTCCTTTTTTGTGAAATTGAGGCTATTTAGGATGGACAAGGATTTTTGTGCCTAAGTCACAAAATTGAATGTCCCCTACATTCAAGGCTCTGAAGAATACGCCTCGCTCGAGAAGTTAATTTGTCTTTCTTTCTTAGAAGTGACTAAACAAATGAATAATCGAATGAACAAATTGGCTGAATAAATAGAACATTATTCCCGATAAGTTTCGAATCTGTTCAGTAGGTGAGAGAATCATCGCCTTATCATCACATAATCGAAAAAACGAATTTGGGCTTTTCAAACTTTTCAATGTTCGGTGCGTATAAATAAGCATTACATCGATGTAGGGCAACCTCTAACTGACCTTTTTGAGCATAGAACCAAATTTTCAAGCACTAAACACAGAGCACCATGTCGATAAATTCTATCCTAAGTATGTAATTACCCTAGATGAGCTCCCAGAGGGTTCTTGAGTAAACTTTCGCATACGAAATTTTGTCTTCGGATGTTTATGAAGCGCATCCTCATTTCTGAGTAACTAGTCTTCCTAGCCAAATTAATGAACGTTACGTATATTGATTTGTACTAAATGGAGCAATGAACTGGAGTAAAGGAAGTAAGACTGAAGTAGTTACGATGAAAATCAAATTGCGGATAATCACATAACAAGAGCGAAAGAACACTTCGTGAGGCATCGTCCTTGACGTTACTAAACGACCATAGGAAACTCGAAATTCCTAGCGCCATTAACAACTTACCAGGAACTTTTCAAATGATCACGTTGTATGTTCTAGAGAATTCATTTTGATTTAGGCCATTTCCGTCATTCACTCAAAAATCACGGTTGGAAAAGGAAACATTTCTCACTGTTAAGTGGCCAAGTTTGCAAAAACTTTTGTCAGTGATAAAAAAGTTAGACTTAGACGACAACAGCGACAAAACAAATGGTGAAATGTATCGGAGAGGAATAGGTCAAAAGTCTTAGCTTAGAAAAAAGATCATCAAGTCTTCAAACTGCCCCTCGTGATTAAGTTTGGAAAATTATTGTTGGTAAAATTAGTTACGCTTATAAAAATTAAAATTCTGAGCAAATGAGGTTGCTCGTTTATGCGTACATATTGTTTCCTAATAAACTTTTTTTTGTTTCCTAAAATTGGTCTAATTCAAAATTTTGTACGTTTGTACCACTGAGGTTGTTCAGTCTTGCGTATTGTTTCCTGATGAAATTATTCTAGTTTTCTGAGAACCTATTTTTCCCAATGCCTTTATCATAAATTCCAAAATAGTGAAAAGCAAACAAAGCTTCCTAAATAGATACAATAGAAGCAAGGGAACGAGATATTTGCAGAGTTTGTATGCTCAGAACCATTATCTAAGTAAAAAAAAATAGCAGTTTTTCTTGATTAAATGGGATGACTGTTATCAGAACGAAGACTGATCCTTAATCTATTAGAAGCGGGGTTTAAGCAAATGGCACGAAGAAAGTAACAACAACATAGGAAGTAGCAGTCAGTCGGAATTGACTATTGTTTGCGAACGGGAAGCTAAACAAACTGCGAAATAGTCCAGACACATGCTCCGCCTATTGAAATAGGACAAAACCCTGGAGCTATGCTAGAGCACAGAGAGATTTCACTTTCGCAATGACGAAAACAAACAGAGACTACCTCTCTATATTCGATATTGTTGGAAGTTACGTTGAAGAATTCGGCAATTGGGACGGAAGATTTGCACGACGGGCGGATAACCTTGAGAATCGACGAAGCGTTTTTGAGGATTACTAAACATGGATGTGTGGTCGCCTCTTGTGTCAACAAAGCTCCCTCATAAATAAATGTTCTATAGACGCATTATTGGCAATACCGATGAGTACAAAATGCTTCACCTTTTGCCTAAGAATGAAAACACAATGAGTTGTATTCTAAATAAGAAATGCTCGTTGGTTTCAAAAGATGTTTGAACATTGTATTTCTACCCTATTGTTGGCAATCTATTCCTGCTTGTGGATAGTTAAAACCTTTTTCCATCTCTTCACCTAGGTAAAGAGCTCTATGAAAGAAAAATCAGATTGGTAAAAAAAATTTCAGTTATGTTTGGGGGCGTGCAAAAACTTGCAGAATTTTCCAAATTTGTAAAAGTATCCAGCAGTCATGCCAATTAGCTTTAGAGCCATTTGCTCATTTTATATGCAAGTTAAGAGGATTGTTTTTATGAATGTTTTTTTACTTCTTTGATTGGTTTCTTTGAAACATCTTCTTTGACGTAGAAAATGAATAGAAGATAGAAGCCGGAAAGAGTAATTTAAGAAAAACAAGAAAATAGATTCTTATTCGGGAAGATTGGTATTCTTACGTTGAAGTGGCATAAGAAGATGAGCTCCGTTCCTCTCAACAGTCTCCCCAAAAGTTGGGTTACAACAGATATATGATTGTGATGTTGAAGTAGAAATGGTATTTACACACATCATTTGCATATTTCAGACCATTTGCATAGTTTTCGATGGTCAGAATGATTGCCGTGAAAGTCGACTTTCGCTCGAATGTGAGAATTCGCATAATCAGAACTATGAGCATCTCAGCCAGACATGAGTCAATGTTGTCTGCTAAGTAGCCAAAGCTTATGTATACGCATTACCAAGTCACTTACCTGTGCATCTACTGCGCCTATCACCATGAGGGAAACATTCAGAAATTCAAAAAATGAATGTTTTAAACCAAAAATGTGATCGTGCTTAATCGCCAGTAGAATATGAATAGTTGATGAAGGGTAGCAGTCGTCTCACAAGTCTTGGACCAAATTTTTGAAAAGGAATTGTCTCCTATTTTAAAATTCCTTCAATTTGACGTCATCTACAAACAGAGAAAGATGTTGACCCATAAAAACAAACACAACCAATGCTTTCTATAACAGTAGTTTTGAGGAAGAAATGTGTGGCATACCCGTAGAGATAAAAGTCGATAGATAACAATCACATCGATTTTTTTTTTGAATTTTCGCAAAAATGCTGAAAGATCCCACAGAATTTAGTTTTATTTTCAGAATCGATCTTCCTGATTGACCAAAGTTCATGCTGATTAAGTGTTTCTACCAATAATTATTTTCAATTGTTTTACAGCGTTTTGATTTTATTTCCTACAATCTTTAGTAGTATGATGATAAGAACTTTTGTTAGATGTTACAAAAATATCATCAAACAAAACATCTTTCAAACCAAGACGAATTTCCCATGCTTTATTGTTGCAAAACATATGCATCAAACTAGAGCATAGAACAAAAATACTTCTTTGCTTACAATATCTTCTTGATTTTTTGTGCACACTACTGCTCACGAAAGCGTCTGGAACGCTGATAGTAAAAAACTGGACATAAGACCCTAGAGGATTATCCCAAGTAGCTATAAACGGCAATAAGTCTTTTTTGCTCTGAGTTGTGTTTATGAACGCTTGCTGCTGTTTATGATGGAACGAAACCTCAGAGCTGTCAGGGACTGATAGATTGTTCTATTTTCGAAGCATTAACACCATAAAACTGCGCTGGCAGATGCAGCCTGGTAGCTTCGTCGATTGGATTTCGTAGGTTTATTGTCATGGATACATTTGGTTAGTATTCGAAACAAAAAGTAGTCTTAACGCATTTTGCGAAGACAATGCGCCAGCGCACCAGGCAGCCATACGTGGAGATTAGCAAATGTACCCAGTAATCCACTTTCTTCCCGCTAAGGGCAGATATGACAGATCACCCGCCTAAACCTCACAGCTTAGAGGTTTCTTCATTAAACTTGATGTGGAAAATCGATCACATCAATAAAAAATTCAGTAGCTTCGCTTTAGATTACAAATATGGCGTACAACATGAAGATACTCCTAAAGAGCTTTTACGCATCTAAAAATCAATTTTCTATTTTTAAGTTTCTATGGAATTTTCAAATTCCTGAATTGACTAGTTGACGGATCAATCCTCTCGAGGGAACAAAATTTGATGCACACTTTGAATTTCATCTAATCAGTTGACAAATGATTGCTTACAAAGATACTTCTTCTAACAAAAAATTTCGGCATCAACATAACAGTAAAGCTTGCTCAAGGCTCTTTCTTCTAGACTGATTATCAAATTTAGTTCGTCTAGACCGGCTATCAAAGTTGCAGTCAGATAACGAATAAATCTGAATGGGCGCAAATCTACTCCACATTTTTGGAATTTCATCTATAAAAACAGATCCGCTCTATACAAGACGCGAAATCTTCTAAATGTGTTCGTACTTCTTGAAAAGTAGGTTCTTCAAAACTGCAGTTTGCTTTCATATGTATTCTCAAAACATCCTAACCACAGATATGATATTTGAAGGGAGTAGAATTTTTCGCATAAGTTTCCATAATCTGGCGCAAAAAAAGGAAATCTTCCTTTTCCTTACCTCTAGCAATGCTTTCATCTAATTTGCTTGGATTTATAATAACGATAGGAAAGATTATTCAATACCGGAAAAGTGTAGACAGTGACAAACTCACGGGCATGAATAAACTTCAATGGGTAGCAAGTGTATGATATTGTTTGTTACTGGCATTTTTGCCATGATGCAGTGAGCGCTGAAAGAACTGAATATGTAAATGTACTTCAACTATCATTCCAAAGTTTTTCTCGTTTTATTTTCGACCTTTTAGAATTTACTGCTGCATCAAAAATAAAACGACGAAACTTTCGGAACGATCCGATTGTTTTGTCTCCAGACTCAAATTATAGCTACGAGCTATATACTAGGTTGTAACATAAGACACTTGTGACACTTGAAGCAAAAAACCTTCATAACTTTCTCCAAAGATTTTTGCTCATCTTCAAATTGAGTGGAGGGTTGTAACTTTTCAATATATACATGCCACATGTGGAAAATCCAATTTTCGAATTTTTTAAAAATTGTCTGGATTGTTTTTGGTAAATTTCCAACTTCCGTTATCGAACAGCCTAGACTTCCAAACTTCTCTCATGCTATTAATAATATCACTGAAAATCCAACAAAAATTTGAGAGCATAAAAAAATAAGAATGAGAGAATTTTTGAAGGCGAAAGAAAAAATTGGAGATTTGAGTGTCGTCACAAAATCGCCTTTATATTTACTGTAACCCATACCTGTGAATGTGGAATTAATGCCAAGAGATACTCCGTTGTCCCCGCTCATATGTGCCAAATATTAGACTTCGTCAAAGTTTCTGGAGTTTTTCACAAGAAAATGAAGAAAGTGTCTCAAATCTTTTGTTACAACCTAATACAATACTAAAAAGTAACATGCAATGCTTTTGAGCTGCAATGATATCGGCACTAGACAGAAGAATGCAGAAATCCTTCAAACATTCAAGAAACCCCTTAAAAGTAGCAATTTGGACATGTCAGTGGCCTGAACCAGAAAACGACAACATTTCCGTCCTAGTAAAAACATATTCTCAAAAACACTGCTAGTATTCGTAAAGCTAAGCCGGACCAGACCGCCTCTGCCTTGATTTTCGTTCTGATATCAACAGATTTCGTGACTAAGTAATCTCGATGTGAGTTTTATCAATCCTTCTCAAGCACCGCATTATCTCTTTTGAAATAATATGTTGGAAATAACACAACCTTTGCGTGATGCTTGACATATCCACAGATTATTTCCATAAATGCCACAGAACGTACGTGCGGTAATTACAGCTCAAAATGTAGCCGTTTTATGTTTTATGTTTTATGTAAGATGATAACATACTCTTCAAGTTCATAGGAAATCTAGGACCAAAACTGAGATTGTTGTTAGTGGATTGGAACATATAAATATGACTAAGGGGAGATTTCTATTACAGTTTTGCCTTTTATTGGCATTTTAGAGTGCTCCTATTACAACACGATGAGGAAAGGAAGAAACTTTGCCAACTGTTCAGTTTTTTGGTATTTTTTTTTTCACGCCTTCCTAAAGATGTGGAGGTACGGACTTCTACTGTAGGTGCCAAACATTATAAGCAATCACGGGTAAGAAAAAGCACAAGGAGAGGCAGAGGAAGAGGTAATTGGGTATGTTCACAAAACTATATGTCGTACAATTGTTGGCTATGTGTGCATTTGCAGCATCGAATGCCGGTGATAGACTCCGCCATCCATTAAGTAATTTAAGAAGTTAGGCTTCTGTGGTTTCTCAGTGCCAAAAAGAGAAGGTTTTACGGAAATTTCCGTATGACCTCCAGTTTTTCACTGGAAAATCGCTTTAGAAAATTTCGAATTTGGAACAGTGTGTGAGGAGAAATTGGCAGAAAAGGAGGAAAAATTCTTTATGAAATCAGCAGTAACTAGAGAGAATCAAGCATAGTACCGAACATCACCAGTTGGAGCTCGAAAAAGAGAGAATGGCTGCTGAAACCAGCAATTACCTTACGCCTCATTTTGAGTGGCGGAAAACAACATTCACGCTTGAAAGACTTAATGTGCAATCACGGACTGAGTGGTGATACACAGGTATTCATTAGAGAAAAATGAGTAAGCCATTATTTCTACTCAGTGCTATCATTATTTGGACTGATGCCTGCCATAGAGATTAATTCATAATGATTGATCAAAAAATTTTATCAACTTCTCAGTTATTCAGCATGACACACACAGCTTTTGATGAGACTGATTGGGGTAACCTCAATCAGTCTCATCAAAAGGTAGCCATCTGCCGGGCAAGGTTTTAGGGTCTTTGTTGCAGAACTAAAATGATAAAACCAAAACGAGTATGGTGAGGAAAATTATAATATATGAGTATGGATGAAATAAAACATTCATATACATTCTCTTCCACTAAGGATGTGCGTACAAAAAATTTGCAAGTTAAACACTCAAAGAATTATTTCCTTTCAAGCTGAGTGAATTGAAATCAGGTGGAGATAGAAGTACTTTGTTAATTTTTGGCAACAAATGAGAAAAAAGACATCTATAGGAACAGCAACACCAGTAGATAGAAGAAAGTGTGCAACTCATATGTATAATTGCCCACAATCCAGTGTATATTGTCAAAGGGTAGCAACAATCACGAATGTTTCCATGAAACACTTCCTATTCGGGATATGATCAAAACAACAGAAAGGAAGTAGAGTTGTGCCTAATGTGCCTTAATTTAGCAATTTCTAAATGCATTTTTTCAAAAGAAAATCTGAGACCGAGATTAGAGATAATAGGGGCTAGCTCAGGAAGACGCTTTTATTCCACAACTGTCTGTTGTTAATCAAAATGTTAAAATATTTCGAACTGGCGATTTCCCAAAGAAATAAATAGAGGCACGTAGAGAGAAAAGTGCGCTTAATCTTTCATCTAAAAAATTCTTAGTGGTGAACTGATTTGAAAATTTCGAAACGCTCAATAATATGAAGAGAGGTCATGAACAGCGAACGCATTTTGACTGTAGTATCTCAAAAATCAGTACTCAGTATTATCATGGATCCATTTCGATGAGCTATTAATAAGCTTTTCTCCTCGAAATTTCTTGCACATTAGCCCGTTACTGCATAAGAATGGTTGGTTTATGATGTGGCTACTTTGCATGACGGACTGGAATCAGCGAATAAGCTTAAGAAGCAAGTATGGCACCACGATTCATCAAAAGGAGTCATACGTTTCAACATGCTTCTGACTATCAACACGAGTCCTCATAGCTGCCTGAGAAGCTCCTGAAGGCAAGGCAGAAATTGGAAAAAGTTTGCAAGCTGCTAGAATCGCAAGGATGAACACTAATTTCTTCAACTTTTTTGTCTTCAAGACTTATTAGCAAAGACATTCCATGCGACAGACATGTGCTAGGCTGAGAGGACGCGACATGATGTTCTCCGTCAAGTCTGGGAATTCGACAAACGGCCAAAATTAACGAAGTGAGTAAAGCTCTAAATTTGCTTTTGAGTTATGCACCTCATGGTGTTTCGAACTGGCGGATGTTGACATCAAAGCTACTTTGCCTCACACAAACAGCCTTTTTCGATCTCAAAAAATACATCTTCGCAAATGACACTGATAACACGGAAAGAAAATTATTTCAAACATCCAGTTATTATAGTTTCACAATTCTCGGCTCCTAAAAACACGCTCGAAAGATGAGTTTTTTATAAACAGAATCCGACTGCGCTGTTTTTAGGTTCAGCTCTTATTTTCCTTACCTCTCTTATTCATACTATTTTTTATGGTTTGAACATCGCAAAGCCAAGATTAGAGAAACAACGATTGCATCATTTTTGCCGAGGAGAATTTGAGGAGCGGAGTGACATCACACCATAGAGAATGGTCGACAAGGATTATCGTCACTAAAGGAAAATATGTTCCTCATTTTGAACTATTCGTTCAACAAATCATCTGGGTTCATGGGCAAAAATGATGCACTTGTCAGCTGAGCGCTTAGCTGGACTTATGGAATCAATTCAAAACGCATTTCTTGCGTTTTGGCTTTTTCATAGAGGCAAATTTATGAAAAAGGGGAAAAGCACATTGAAAAGATCACTGAAAATTGAACTGATTTGTTAGAAGAAATGGGCTAATTTTCTGTTGAATAGTCAGCAGAGTGAGGGTTAGGAAGAGATTAGATGCAGAAAAAAGGAGAGAAAAATAGGTTTCAAAGATTGTGTCGTGATTCTCACGATATGAAGAAGGCGGGGCCGCTGCGAGGGATATAAAAGAAGAGCCGAGATAAAGCGAAAGAAAGAAAAACGAAGAATTTTATAGTGCTTATAATTTATCATATCTTCTCTAACATACTCTTGGTCACAATAAACGTTGGAACCCGGCTGTTGATATTGTTGGCCAAGACAGATTGAACGTTTTGTGGTAACTTGAAAAGCCTAACCATATGGGCAGAGAAAAACAGCAGTCAAAGCATGCGAAATTAATCAACGAAGTAATCATAATCATCATAATTAATCATACCTTTGACATGATAACGCATTCACAAGCATATGTAGGTGAGCAAAAGTTAGATGTCAAAGTTGGGATTTCTCCCGCAGTGAAGCATACCAAAAAGTACGCTAACCTATAGATAGTACAAACGATGCTGAATTTCATACCTAACCGAAATCCGATTGAATGAGTATAAAAGGGTAGTCATGCGGCACTTCTGACGTGACGCTGCGTTCTATCGCATTTTTTATTGTTGGTAGTGAAGGGTGACTTCTGTCCCCTGCTATGTAGTTTATGAAACAGAACAGAAAAATCTCGGATTTTTCAAACTTCTGCGGCAGATGATTGTTGATACTCCATTGATGAAAATAAATACTGGGAAAGCTGTAAAAGTTGGAAATTTCTAGGATCGTTTGAAACACAAAATCTTTGAATTCTCCTTTCGGCTTGGTAAAAAAGAAATTGCCTGCCCAGCTGCTACAACGTCCACTCATAATTAGCGAATTCCATCCATGCTTCAAGCTCGAAAACTTTTGCTTTATGCATATACATATTTCATTGAGATTTCTGCATAACATTCAGCTTACACATTATCTCAGAACTAAATCCACCGAGAGATATTGAGCATTATTAATGAACAGTGCATTTGAAGACCCAGAGGTGGAAGTTGAAATATTGCTTTGTCTGAGTTGAAGAATGCCGAGTTCAATTATGC